AAAAAAATATACTGAATCAATTACTTGGTCTGCTGCTAGGGAAGTTGGTTCACTGTGTCATGCTAGACAATTTTTCTCATCAGAATCTATCTTATGCATTTATAAGTCTAGCATTTTCCCATGCATTGAATATTGTTGCCAATATCTGGCCTGATGCTTCTGCTATATATTTAGAGATTCTTGATAAATTTTCAAAGAAAAATCTGCAATGACCTGGCATATTGTCTTCAGTCACTTTCCCACTACTTGAACACAGTTTCTGTCTGCCTTTTCTATAAATATTCTTTGTGGTGATTGTTTTGATGAGCTTTCCTCTTGTGACCAAAAGACTAAATTCCTGAATTTGATTTTTGAAAAGGGTTTCTTGGTTGGCATGAGATCTTTTCAGTACACCATGGCATACTTGGGTTAGACAACATTATTTCCCAGTAAGGAATTTATATACAACTATTTGATTATAAATCATTTGTAACGATGCAGAAGGTGATTATCTCTGTTTTTTTACACAACAAATATACTGACATCCTAAGGAATATTGAGGACCATGTGACAACTTGTTGGTGAGGATAGTTGAATTGCTGCTTAGGACCCTGAGAGAGACACATGAGGTATGTCACTCACTGTAAGCTTGGATGTGTGAGTGGTATAGTGGATAACAGTTCAGAGTTGGAAATTGGAGAGCAAAGTTCCAATTCCAGTCAGGTTCATTATATTGACTTACATTCAAATACACTTTGGAAAAGTATGAACCCAACTCGTCTCACTGCAGCTATGGGTTAATTTGTAGGATTTGTATCAGTAAATCAATATTATCTCCCAATAATTCTTACAATCTAAAAATATTTTCTGGTTTTAAATAACCTGCAAAGATTGATAATCTGTAATAAAAAAATCACTCAATCAATCAATTTTCTTTCTCTCTCTTTCTCTCTCTATATATATAAAATGTGCGTATGTATGTAAGCACATAAATACAGTTTAAAGATCACAGATTATGTCACTTTTAAGTGACTTAAATTTAATTCCAGCAAACTAAAACAGCTTGAATTTATCAAACACCTCTTGATAAACGAACTAATAACTTGTAATTCTTGATAATAGCTGTCAAAGTTGAAAGTACTCAGATACAAAAAATGAATATTACTATCTTTAATTCTAACTTACTTAAAACAAGTTAGTCGGAAGTTAGAAAAATAAATAAAAAGTTGAATAGACAGACCTTGTTGGGTATAATAAAACCTTTTTGAATATATATATATATATATATATATATATATATATATATATATATATATATATATATATATAGCCACTGGCAGTAGTCTGTTTCATGTTTAAACATAATGATCAGGCTTTATATTTTTATTTACATATGCTTTATCCCTGATACTGAGCATTTTAACCCATAAATATAGCATCTTAAAACTGTATATATATATAGATATATATATTTTTGAATAAAAACAGACCACTTTAAGGCTCCATGTAATAAGTTATTTCACCACAACCCTTTTAAAGGGCTCTGGATCATCAGATGTTACTTCCAAAAGTTGAAATGAAAAATGAAAAGAAACTTACACATTTTTGACGGACTGCACCAAGCATATGTAAAATTAACGAAGTAAGGAAGTGAGGTGGGAGAGAAGATATGAGTGAGAAGTATAAATTTCAGATAGAGTATATCAGTAAAAGGACAATATGAATAAAGATAAAAGGAAAACTTATCTTAGCCAACGTGTTTCGTCTTCTGAAAGACTTTATCAGGACAAATGTGAGTATTTTATTTTGTAGCAAGTATATATATATATATATATATATATATATATATATATATATATATATATATTGCATTTTTTGGTATGATGTATTTGTACATTTGTGTTGTATATAAAGTGTTTTCGATTCATTTTGGGAATTAATTTCTTTGGGTTATTCAAATTCTACCTTCATCTCTATCATGGATATACTAATGCTTAATGTAGGCCTTGAAAAGTGGAGAAAACCAAAATATTTCTTTTCTCTTTTCAAGCATCTCATTAATGGTGATATCATTCTTTTTATGTGCCATGTCCTTTCAGGATGTAGCCGATCATGGTTCTCCACCTCTCTCTATCCCTTGCAGCACTCAACAAGTTCCTTCCCTCTGCTTCCTCCCCCAGAGCACATTCTGTCATCCACTTGCTTAAGCCTGCTAGGTGTGTCACATATTGTTTTCCCTTGTCTCTTCTTTCCTTTATCTGATTTGTGAGTATCAGATTCTCCAGGCCCGCCTTTCTTATTATGTGTTCCAGAAACTCCAGCTGCCTCTTCCTGGTGTTAATTATAAGCCTCCTCCTTGTTTGCGACCTCTCTAAGACCTCATCATTGCTCACACACTTGGTCTATCCTTAGCATCCTTCTGTAGATCCATATCTCTGTAGCCTTGAGTCTGTTCTTCATCTTTGAAGAAATTGTCCAACATTCATTGCCATAAAGAAAGACAGATGTCATGTAACAGTTCAGTATTCATTTCTTTGATACCAATACTCTGCCCAGCTTTTGGAATGTGTCCTTGGCCATCCCAATACATCTACGAATCTCAGTGTCGCACTTATCGTCCTCAGTCAAGACGCTTCCCAGATATTTAAACTTCCGCGTCTGCTTGATTCTAGTGTTCACGACCTTCAAATCGCATTTCAGATTCATCCTCTTACTGATGACCATGCATTCTGTCTTCTTGTAGTTTATGCTTAGTCCTTTCTTTTCACTCTCCGTTGCTACCTTCTGTAGAAGAGTTTGTAATTTCTTTTCCATGTCTGCTACCAATAAAGTGTGTCATCTGTGTATCTTATGTTGTTAAGATTGTGGCTGTCAATGCTAAATGACAGTAGGGTTTCTAATTCTCTCAGATTGCCTTGCTGTATAGATTGAATAGGTCGGGTGAGAAGATTCAACCTTGCTTTACACCCCTTTCTATTTTTGTATATTCACTGAACATGTTCCCTATGGGTATGCATACTGTTTTCTGCCAATATAGATTCTTGATTAGTTTGATATCTTTCCCAAATATATCAAGATTGGTGAGCAGTTCCGTCAGATCCTTGTGGTGTACTTTTTCAAAGGCCTTTGTGTAGTCTATGAAACATAGATACACATCCTTCTGCAATTGTATCGCACTTTCTGATAAAATTCTGAGCATGAATATCGCGTTCCTTGTTCTGGTGTCTTTAATGAACTGGCAGTTTTCTTGTCCTATCTCTGGCCTGATTCTGCTGTGCACTCTATTCATCAGAATACGAATGATGAGTTTTGTCACATAGCTTATTAGGATTATTGTTTGGTGGAGTTCGCATTTGTTTGTACCTGGTTTCTTAGGCATAGCTATGTAGATTGATCTGCTGAGGTCTTCTGGTATAACTCCACTGTTGTAGATTTCATTTGTTATTTCGGTGATCTTGTCTATGCCAAAGTCATCTAAGGCTGTCAGCATTTCCGCTACAATTCCATCTGGCCCAGCTGCCTTGTTTCTGTTCAATTTGGCCAGTGCGGCTTTTACTTTGGTTTTCAGAATTCCAGGTCCATCCATAGTTCTATGTATTGTTGGTTGTTCCCTTTCATTGTGGAAGAGTTCTCCAATATACTCGCTCCAGCATTGAAGAATTCTTTTACCTTTTTGTTATTGTTTATTTAAATCAATCTCTCCTTTAAATATATAAAAAGTGAAATTTTCAATCTAAAGTTATAAGCAATAATTTAAACATTTAACTAGTTGAATACCTGACATTTTTGTTGGAAGAAGTCAGAACTTGACTTTAGATGCAAAGATAAGAGATTCTTAGATTTTAAACAGTTCTCTTTGTTAGAATAAATTAAGACTTGACCAAAAATGTAAATAAACGCTTTTTCAAAATTTGCTGAAATTAGTTTGGTACACTGAGTAAGCAAATGGAAAGAAATACAAAGAAAGAATATCATGATGCATCAAACTACAGAATGGGGAGGTCTTATCTGTTGATAAAAATCAACATTTGAAATATCTGCCCCTTTTAAATGATCTTTCCTTATTTTTTAAATAAAAAGGATAGAGACCCGGCGTATATTATACATAAAATAACTTTTCTTTATTTATACTGCTTGCTCTAAAGAGTTAACTGGTCCATTAAAATTTCATTATACTGTTCAACCTTGAAAAGTCAATGGCTAATTTTCAGTATTTTGGATTTTTTTTTCTAAAATTCACCTAATACAAGGCTCGAGAGCCACTCAAAGTAAAATGTTACTGAATGATGTTTGTGGTATGAATGTAAGAAGAACTGATAGAAAGAGAAGATTATAAGGCTAAATAATAAATGAACCATGATTTGGAGCTTAAGATTATAATCTTAAGCTCCAAATCATGGTTCATTTATTATCAGGAAAGCAACCACAGAGGACACTTTTACAGAAAGTTGCAATTCTTGGGAAAAATGTGTCTAAGTGAAATTTGCTTCTTTGTTAGATGTACGTTTAATGAGTTTACATGAATGGATGGCAAAATAAGGACAAAAAGGGATGGTAAAGAGTCAAAAATTACTTAGAGCAACAAAAGACAGAAAGATGTGGAGAGCCATGGTCATATAATGAGTATGTGTATGGATGGCAGAACAGGTACAAAAAGGGATGGGAAAGAGTCAAAAGTTACTTAGGGAAACAAAAGACTGGAAGATGTGGAGAGCCACGAGCCTTAATGAGTTTTCATGAACAGTTGTCTTTTTTTTGTTTTTTTTTTTGTTTAGTGGCATATCAAAATATTAATGGCAAAATCTAAATATTTTATATGCAATTTTCTTTTTGAGATAATAATGATTTAGTGATACAAGTCTTACTAATTAACCCATAGCTGGGAGGGAAGAGGTGGATTCATACCTTTCCAAAAAGAATTTGAATGTAGTTGAATATAACGAACCTAACAGGAATTGAAACTTGGTTCTCCAATTGACAATTCTCAGTCATTATCCATTACACCACTTGCTCATCAAAACTTACAACACCTGGTATTCCCAAGTGGTCACCCATCTAGGTACTGACCAAGCTTGATGTTGCTTAACTACAGTGACTGAACAAGAACCGTTGTTTCAGCAGGACATGGATGTAAGTTTGCGTCAATGGAATGCAAAAAAATAGAGAAAAATGGATGGATAGTACAAGTTAATTAAAGCAAGAAAAGACAGGAAGATGTGGGGAGCCATGATCATCTACTTAATGAGTAGTAATGAGTATTGAATGGATGGCAGATAAAGGTGAAAGAGGGATGGTACAGAATCAAAAATTACTTAGGGCAATAAAACCACAAAGTTGTGGAGAGCCATGATTGTCCATGGACATAAAACAAGAATTCTAAAAATATTGCCAAGCAACCAAGTTCAACATGGAATTCAATTTCAACTGTACAGCCTAACTAATCAGCAATTTATTTTTTTTGATACTTGTAACACGGTTGATGCAAGTGCAATTAATTTTGGATTGGATGGATTGTTATTCAAGCGAAAAAACATTTGGCAATGAAATGGATAAAAATCACTGACACAAGGAATTAGGGGTAAAAAATAAAAAAAATTCTTCCACTTTCCTGGAATCAGCATTTTTCTCATTTTTTTTTTCTTTAATAGAACATTTTTATATTTATAAATATTCAATCCATTTTTCTACATTCATTTGGTTGCATTATGCAAGATCCTTTAAGCATCTGGTCAGGAGCTCTTTCTATATGTGTAGAGATTCTTGAAACAAAGAAAAATCTGTAATATTACCAATCCTGACCTGGCATCTCAGCTTCCCACTGCTGTAATGTGTTTTTTCTATAAATATTCTCATAGCAATTATTCTAATGCACTCTCCTCTTTGGTATATTGACCTCATCTAATTTAAGTGTATTACTAGATTAGCAGGTAGGTTTCATCAATGTATTGATATAGCTACATTTAGCCATAAATTTTATGCTAGTAATTTCTTTTCTCATGTTCTTGTCTATAGAAGCCTTTTTCAGATTCTTGCTTTCCAGTCAACTACGATCTTCAAAAATTTAAATGTAACATTATTCACCATCTTTGGTCTTTCTAAAAAAACCATGTTCTTTTATAGTCCTTTCATTTCACTAATGTTTTCTTATTTTCTTTCACTCTCAATAGCCCTTTGTGTCTTAGTGGCTTTATTGCCTTGCTTGAGGTGAAATGATTAAAGGAAAAAAATGCTAATCAAATCATTGATTAAATAATATGTAGAAAATCTAATTAAAGAAATAATTAAACTCATAAACTAATATCTTAGAACCTTAGTTTATTTAATTTTAAATTTTGTATGGATTACTTAGTGAGGATCAAACTCTTTACTCAGTAGTAATGGCTACTCAGACGAACCTCATTAACCATTACCCTATCCTGAAATGCACACTTATTGTTTATTAGGTTTTCACATGAAATATTTTAAATATATTTTTTGTCATTAATGTATGGTCATTCTAAAGGATCAGTTTATTACTTAATAACAAGTGAAAACAGAACCCCGACTTTATGTCCAGTAGATGCTTATATCAATAGAAGTTAACTTATGTCATTTTTGATGGCATGAGTAAAAAGTATATATATATATATATATATATATATATATATATGATGGCATGAGTAAAGTAGTATATATATATATACTACTTTACTCATGCCATCAAAAATGACATAAGTTAACTTCTATATATATATAAGATTTTACTTGGCATAAAGTTGGAGATCAGTTTTTTATTGTTACTAAGTAATAAACTGATCCCCATTAATTATTATATGCAAATAAATCTTCAAATAATGGGAAGAGCTCGACAAAATATGCCATCATTTTTATGGCATGAGTAAACCAGTATTGATATAAGCTTATGTTGGGTATAAAGTGGGGGATCTGTTTTGTATTGTTATTAATTTATAAACTGATCCCCCATCATTGCTATAGATTAATAATTGGAAAATATATATTTAAAAGCTCTCATGTGAAAGCCTAATAATATGTAGAGTACCTCAGTGTGGGGTAATGGTTAGCAAAGATAATCTAGTCAACCATTATTATTTAGTGGTGTGTTCTATCCTCACAGGTTACCCCATACAAAATTTGACATTAAATTTGTACTTGTTTTGAATACTGCTGCCATAACTGGTATAGTGCTCCTGCTATATATTTAGAGATTCTTGATAAAATCCCCAAAAGAATCTGCAAATGTCATTGGTCTTGACCTGGTATCTCAACTTCAGTCACTTTCTCACCACCATAATGTAGCTTTCTTGTGCCTTTTCTATAAATACTTTCATGCTAATTTTTCTGATGAACTTTCCTCTTTGGCACCTAGACTTTATGAATTTACTAGATTGGCAGCTAGGTCTCACCATTTTATAATTGAAATGGCTAGATGCAACCGTAAGGTCAATGGTAACAGTTTCTTCTCTCACTTATGGAACTCTCTTCTGGCTTCTTACTTTTCAGTCAAGTTTGATCTTCAAAAATTTAAATACATTGTCAATCATTATCTTTTGTTTTCTTAATTCCTGTTCTTTTATTATCCTATCTTCTTAATAGTGTTTCTTTTTCATATTCTCTAACACTCAGTGATCTCCTGTGTCTTAGTGGCTTTATTGCCTTGCTTGGGATAAAATGATTAAAAAAAGAAAAGAAAATAGCCCAACAAGAGTTAATGTCATACAATCAACCTAACCATACCTATTCCCTGCCAGAGTAAGAAGTCTCATGATAAAACAATATCTAATAAGATATCTCATTAGCCAGTCTGAGAAGATTGTTGACATTTGATAACAACCATTGCTTTCATCAACCTCTACAGATTCTCTCTGATTAAATGATGACGAAGACCCAGGACAAATAAATTTCTTATTGGATATATCCTGTCAGCTGTCCCCAAATGGTTAAATGTTTTACTTTTGTTGGAGAATAGCAATGGAAGTGTGGTTTAGATCCCAAATCAGAAATCCAAGGTCATAATTCCAAAAGTCATAAATCAGTCGTGCAAGTCCAAAATCAAAAATACTAGGGGATGTAAATGAGAAGCAGTCAAAAATCTGTATCCACAACTCACAACCAACTTCTTCAAAAATGAAGAACAGAAAGTGCTCCTGTTATCCAACATAGTGTTCTTATATTGGTGTAAGAAAGGAATTATTGGTGGAGACAGATCTGCAAATACAAAAATAACCATATTTTGAGACCTACGAAAGTAGATTCAATCTTTATTTTGATATGCTTTTTTGACATCAGCATGGAGAAAAATTCTTTTTAGAGGTAAGACTTTGTTTTCTCCCTCATCACTACAACTCCTTTAATATATAATTAATATGTTTTTGCGTTGTATAGGAATAAAGTGCTGCTCGTGACACTGGAGTTTGAACACTGATCACCAGAGAGCAAACGCAGGCGATTCCATTTTGAATAAGTAGATCACGTAATGGCAAAAGGAAATGTATATATGGGAATTAGCATGGAGTCTAAGTGATCCCTATACGGATCATTATTTGGTGGTTACTTTCCGAGTGAGTATTATTGAGCAAGTACTGTTAGTGTGAGTGTTATTTGAAGGCGTCTGACATCAGTACTGTTCAACGGAGTTACTATAGTTGTGTTTGCAATTACTACAATGAGCATTATGAAAGTGGCAATGAGTATTCATTGACATCACAAAATTTTTTTTTATATAATTTTAGGAGATTCTCTCTGAAAGTAACAGTAAAAGATAATAAGAGATCCCAGAAAATCAAGAATCCCTACGAAAGGCGTTAATTATACTAGTAGAAAGTATTTTAGATTTTCTGCCTGATGAACTTCTCATGTTTCACTTTAATTGATTAGCTTCAGTGTTTGCATCTCTCATTTTGGGGTAACTTGAGGTAGAGGGCCTTTTTTTTTTTTATTAGGGTGTTTGTTTTTAATGGCATTTTGTATTGATGTCATCAATTTCTCTTCTCATCTGAACTGAAAACATGTGTTAAAAAAATAGGGGAAAAATGAAGGATAACAGTTAGAGAGAAAGTGTGAAGGAAAAGTGTTATGGTAAAAGGCTGTACAGAGAGGGGAATAGAGGGATAAAAGGTTATAGAGAAAGAGAGAGAATATGTTGAGAGAAAGAGAAAAGCTTGAAGAGAAGTAGAGAGGATGTGGTGAGAGGAAAGAGAAAAGGTTAAAGAGATAGAGAGAGAACATGGTGAGAGAGAAAGAGTTAGAGATACAGAGAGAGGACATGGTGAGAGAGAAAAAGAAAAGGTTAGGGAGATGAAGAGAGGATGTGGTGAAAGAGAAAAGATTAGCATGATGGAGAGAGAATGTGGTGAGAGAGAAGAGGAGAGGATGTGTTGAGAGAAAGAGAGGATGTGGTGAGAGAGAAAGAGAAATGATTAGAGTGATGGAGAGAGAATGTGGTGAGAAAGAAAAGGTGAAAACAGTAGGGAAAGAAAAGGTTAGAATGGGACAAAGGGTGTGGGAAGTGGGGAATAGAAAAGAAGGAATCTGTTAGAAAAGAAGATAAAAGAATCAAGAGGAAGAGTAAAGATTAGAGAGAGAAGAGAAAAGAGAAGAGGTTGGAAGAAAGAAGGGGAGTTGGAGAGAAAGAAGGGAAAAAACATAGAAGAAGAGAAAGAAATGTTAAAGTGAAAAGTGGAAGGAAAAGAAGAAAAGTTTAGGCAGAAGGACAAGAAGACAAGAAAAGAGAAAAAAAGAGAGTGAAAAAGGTTAGAGGGAAGGAAGAAAGAGTGATAAAAAAACAGAAAGAGAATAAATTAAAGAGAGACAAAAGAGAACCAAGAACAATTTAAAAGGGTGAGGAATTAGACATTAGATCAGCTTTATTTAGAATCCAGAAGAAATAAAAGAGAAGCAAGTGGAGAGAGTAAATTAGTTAATAGAAAAAGCGAGGAAGGTGAGAGATACCAGAGTGAGTGAGTGAGTGAGTGAGAGAGAAAGAAAGAAAGTATCACTTGAAGAGAAATAAAAGCAGACAGCAAGAGAGATCAAGTAAAGTGTGAGAGGGAAAGAAAATAAAAAGATAAAGAGCTTAGGAAAAGACAAAAGGTTGGAGAGGGAGGAGAATATATAGAGAGAAGAAAGAAGAGAGAAAACATTGCAGAAAGTAAGTAAAAGAGTGTTGTGGGAAATTCTGTTTTCTTAGGTTTTTTTTCACCCACAACGGTTATTGTAGACTCGAATGTGAGTCCGGGCAATAAATGATTTAAGTAACAACAAAACTATATACAAACAAACAACAATGTATGTATCAAGAAAAGGTATACATAGACAATAACAGAAGATTGTTGTATGTGATAAAACAATGAATATGAAAGAAGAAAACATTTAAAGAATGTATTACAAGAAAACATTTAAACTAGAGAATATGTTTGTGTGTATAACGTCTGTGTTGAAGTCTGAAAGAAAAGTAATTGGAAGTGAAGTAAACATGTGTGTGTGTGTCCATTCCCTGGTGGAGGGATGCTTCTCCATGAGCAACTGACATCATACCATCTTAGGCCAAAAGCAGTAAAAAACAGAATGACAGAGAATATCAATACCTATTTAAAGGAAAAGCATGGACATAGTTGTAGACACCTGTGGAAAAATGATAGTTGCATCAATAATTGCTAGGAGTCTGGTATATCTGTGTTTGTTTTAAAATTTGTTTTGTGGCATGAGAGTGGCGTGTGTGTGACTAGACGAAAACTGGTGTGTAGTTAGAGATATATGTTTTTAATAACCGTATAAATCTGGCTTTAATTTGTTATCTCTATGTGTAGATTGTGTTTTTTTTTGCTGCAAGAGAGATAAAAGGTTAAATAGAATGTGAGAAGGGAGATAGAGAAGAGGTTAAAAGTAATGAAAATGAATAAAAAAAAAATGGTGGAGAAAATGGGAAAAAGGATAAAAAAGAAAAGAGATAAGATGTTGTAGAGAAAGAAAATTGGAAAAATAAAGATAGAAGTCAAGAATGAAAGAGAGAGAGAAAGATGAAAAAGAAACAGAATAAAGACATTATGGGGACAAGAGTGAGAGAACGTGAACAGAGAGAGAGAGAAGTTAGAAGAGAAGAAAAAGAGAGAGAGATAGAGAAAGAAAATGAAGAAATAGAAAGGGAGAGAAAAAGTATGAGGAATGGTATTGAAATAGACAGAGCAATGGAGTCATGATATCAGTCTTTTCAAAACTCTTTCACCTGTGACCCTGAACAGAGTGTGTTTTTGGCATGGCAACTATGGGAAAAGAAACATCATTTCAGTGTTTCTTGATTTAGTTTTATTCAATAAATTTGGCTGATTCTTATTTTAATTTAATAAGCATTAAATCTTGATCTCTTACGCCAAATAAAGAAAAACGACCCAACTTCATGTCATGTCTCACATGTGTATCACAGTACATCTGTTTTCTCAATACAGAAATGTCTAAAAGAAGTAGGAAATGATACTGCATTTGCATCAGACTCCAGACGCTTTGATGGGGAGATATTGGGTATGAACAGACTGGAATGCATCAGGAATCTTTCGATATTTATTGGGTAAAAAAGCAGAATGCACATATAAACACAAGTAAACCTAATAATAACAACCAACAATAATCAATAATAAATAAAATGTTAACAAACAACACTATAAATAGCCCAAAAACTGCATTCAGATCTACAATTATTTCCACCCAAGAATAATTTGAAACACAAAAATAATTCAAAACATAATAATTTGAAACAAAATAACTATTACAATAATACAATACACTACCCACAATTCATTGCTGAAATGTATAAATAGTCAAGCAAAAACAATACATATGGCCTTATCATTGCATATAAGCATGAAACAGACTAACTGCTGAGTATTGAATTCAATGTCTACTTTTATATTTACATATGCTCTATCCCTGATATTGAGCACTAAATATAACATACTGTAAAACTATATATAATAATAATATATATATATATATATATATATATATATATATATATATATATATATATATATATTCCATTCATACATTATTTTTTATAGATATAATTTATTTAAGTAAATGGTCTGGTTTTTTAATTAAACAGTATTAATTACATTTACCATTAAGGGTTACAGGTTCAATACCTGTTGGAGAAGCACATATTTTCTACAAAATTTCTTGAACATTCAGGGTGGTAAATGTTATTAATACAGTTTAATTAAAAAACAGACCATTTACTTAAATTATATCTATAAAAATAATGTATAAATGGAATACATATTAAAATAATATATATATATATATAATATTAGTTGTCAATATATATATATATATATATATATAATATTAGTTGTCAATATATATATATATATATATATATAATATTAGTTGTCATATATATATATATATATATATATATATATATATATATATATATATATATAATAAATTTCCAAGAGGTAGAATCCAGGTAGAGCTCAATATCAGGACAGAGCAAGAATATATTTTAATAGGCTCAAACACTAATACTCCATGGTTATAATTTATTATATTGGAATCATAATCACAATCCAATTCCTCAGACCTACAAATTCAAAAAGAAATTTTTCTGATTTCTTTTTGAATTTTTTGAATTGATTGTGATTATGATTCCAATATAATAAATTATAAACCATGGAATATTAGTGCTTGAGCCAATATATATATGATAAAAATTTTTACAGTATGCTATATTTATGGGTTAAAGTGCTCGGTATCAGCTAAGTGCCAAATTTTATATTTGTATCAATCCTATATATATATATATATATATATATATATATATATATATAAAATATAGAAAATAGGAAGGAACTGGTTAGGTAAATAATCCAAAAGTTCCTTAGTATTTTAGTTATTTTTTTAAAAATAGTGCTCGATACAAAAGTAGAGCATAAATATAATTATTTATTTAAAAATATGATTCCAACTCATGACATAAGAGGTCTCATGTTTTTTTCAAAACAAGGGCCGAAAACTTCAATATAATTATTTGAATTTAATTGAGTTAATGTAAGCTCTGTTCCATCTTCAAGCGAAAAAAAATTTCGCTTGAAGTTGGAACAGAGCTTACATTAACTAATTATTTATTTGAAAATTATAACATAAGTATGTTATAAAATCACTACAAAAATATCCATTTTGTTTCAACACTTCTGGTGTCTTATCAAGTGATGGTGTTGAATCTAGTATAAAGGGTTTTAAAAGGTTCAAATCAATCAAACACTCCTCGCTAGGGGAAATGCTATTGCATAAACTGGAATGACCAATCAAAATACAAGTATATGAGAATTCAAAAAACTTGACAACAGACTAAGGTTACAATAATTATTTAATACTTTAATGTTAGGCTTAGACTAAAATAGAATTCATTCTAACTAATAAATATTAAATTATACTATAAAATTCAAAATTACCAATTTTAAATCTTAATTTAATTTATATTTAGTTTAAAATTATAAAATTATTTAAAGAAGAAACTGAGGAAAAAATACATAATTCTATTTTGTTTTTATTGAAATTAAGTTGGAATAAACGTTAAGATCTAATGCTGCTCTAAACTCTGTTACAACTTAGATACATTTGAAGCAAAAACATGGCTCTTTTTGTAATGATTTTCTAACATACTTATGTTATAATTTTCAAATAAATAATTATATTTGCACTACTCCGTATTGAGCACTCTTTTAAGAATAGTATTTGTTGGTTGTTAGAATTTATTCCATATACACCAATCCTATACTTGGGTATATATATATATATATATATATATATATGAGAAATAACAATATATATTTTTATATATCACAAACAATATTGGGGAAATGACAAAATAGAAAAAGTTAACTTGTGACACATTTTGTCCTTGAGGACCTCATCAGACTAAAGTTGCTATGTTGGCATGACTACACATGCACATGAAAGAAGGGTATTGGGGTGGTTTTAGAATGTTTTTTAAATAAATAAATAGATAGATATATTTGGCTGAATGTCACATTTGGGTAAAAATGCAGAATACTCCCCACACCCTGCACATTCATACAAAATAAATGAAATATTAAAATGCATGCATTTCATTGTTTATTTTAATCATGGCTGCAAACAAATCTTGAAGTTTCCTTGTTAAATATATTTCTCAATTATTAAAACATAATTACTGAAGAACGATTCAAAATCATCCAGAAATTTTAAATATTAAAAAACATTTAGCAATTAAATAAATTGAAATGAATCTTTTTAAAGTATTTATCAATGATATTTTTTTACAACCTAAATGTCTACAGGACATTTTCTTAAGAAAACAATGTAATTAAAAACTTTCAAAACAAAATTCTAGTTATATTATCTGATTCAGGGTATTTATTTTACACAGCTTAAAATTAAATTTTTAATTGATTTAATTTTTCTGGTGACAAAGTGTTCAAATGATATTTTAAGATTTCAAGAAATTAAATGCTGATTTCAGCTGCTTTTAAATTTCTATAACTTCCTCTTACAAAAATTCCCTTTTCATAAATAAATTCATTCATAAATGAATAAGTATCCAAAATACATGCATACAGGGGTTTGGGACGTTATTCTGAATTTTTATCATTTATTGTTCCTTCATTATTCGAAACTATTTTCCTGTTTTGGACTCTTCATGGTGCTTTAATTCTAAAATTGTTACTATTTTTTGCTATTTACATTGTTCAGACTATTTTCCACATCTTTATTGTCATATTCACAATGTTTTGGCCATGTATGCTCCGGCCTTCTTCAGGTGGTCTATGTTGGAATTTCAAATCGAACCCTTTATTTAGTCCATGAGATAGATTGTTCTAGTTCCACATTCCACACCTTTTTCTGGATATCTTAGTTTCAGTTAATTCACCTTGAGTAACTCAACACTTCAAGTTTTTTTTTCACCTCTGCTGTGACCAGGTATTGAACTCACAACTCTTTAGGATCAAGTCAAATGCTTTTATCCACTGGACCATGTGTCCTTGGGGACATTTAGAAAAGGCATGGCATGAGAAACTAGAACAATCTAACCTCATAGACTAAATAAAGGGTTTGGTTTGAAATTCCAATATATATCACCTGAAGAAGGTTGGAGTATACAATGGTTGAAACATCGTGAATGTGACAGTAAAGATAAGGACAACTGTCCAAAAAATGTAAATAGTGTAAATAGTTACAATACCTAATTGCAAAAATATAGACAGTTCCTGAAGTGGTCCAGATCACACAACCGCTGAAATGTTGTGAATATGACAATAAAGATGAGGACAACTGTCCAAATAGTGTAAATAGTTACAATACCTCATCTCAGAAATATAGGCAGGCACTATTTTTTGTTTTTAACTTCTTTTTTTTTTTATTTTTCATTATTTTTTAACATTTTTTCTGATCTATCAAGTGACTTGGTGGGGTGGGGTTCTTGTGACCCACATTTGTAGGGGCCAGAGCCTTTTGGTCTAGTTGTTGATTGTATTCTATCATATTAAAGTGAGAGTATAATATTACCTTGATTGATATTTTTCAACAGACAACAATGATTAAATTTCGACACATGCCTGGCTATGAATTCTTCATAGAGGATAATGCTCTCTTACAAATATACACACACACACACACACAGCTTTATCTCCAGATATGTATACTTAAGTAGGAGCAGAGATGAAAACACACATATATATTCATGCATATAAGTACATGTGTATGTGTGTATACAGCACAAAGAACTTGAAGGAAAATAATGAAAAGGGTGCAGATGTGTGTTTGAATATCTATTTGTTCATTTTATACCTATCTCAGTCTATTCATATCTACAGTAGTGGAAATAAGTATAAGACACCACATGAAATTGTTAATTTTCTTATTACTGCAAAATTCCTCTGAAAATTTGTGCGTGGTACCTAGATCTGATGGTATTATTATACATATTCAATTTTATAACAACTTTCTACTAAAAAAAGTTATTAAGAAAAATACATTTTTGAGGGTGGAAATAAGCATAAGACAGTTTTGAAAATTTGTATTTAACAGCAAAGTTGTACAAAATTCAATATTTACATTTATTCCTTTTTTAATTGCAATACTTCAACACACCTGTTTTGCATTGAATCAATAAGTTTTCTCAGAGTTTCAGATGGAATTTCATTCCAATACTGTTTAAGGCAAGATTTTAAAGTTTCTCTATCTTCAAATTGACATTTATTTTTGTATACTCTTCTTAACAAAATTCCCCACAAATTTTCTATTGGGTTTAAATCTCGAGACTTAATGGGCCAGTCCAAAACTTCAATATTTTTTGTTTTAAACCAGTCAAGAGCTTAGAAGTGTATATGGCTGCATTGTCCTGCTGAAAAATGGCATTATTGGTGTCTAGATGATTCAAAAATGGGACAAGACATTTTTCCAACACATTGCTATATCGAGCAGAGTTTTGTTTCCCTTCCATCACTACTAAATCAGTCTTTTCTGAAAAAAAAACCCCTCAAACCATAACAGATCCTCCTCCAAATGATCTTTTTGAAAACAGCTGCTTCTCCTTTCTTAAATCATACCAATAACATTGGTAGCCATCAAGCCCATCCAAATTAAACTTTTTCTCATCAAAAAACACCATGGTTTCCCATTTCTCCTTTGTCCATGTTACTTTTTCTTTACTCAATCTATGCGCATCTTCTTGTGTTTAGCAGTTTTAAGCAGGGTTGTCTTCCTGTTTCAGTACATGAGATTTGGTGATTCATGGAGAAGTTAACAAATTCTTCTTGGAGTGATAGGTAAATTCTGAGATTTTTGCAGATCTCTTGAGCTTGATTGTCCTTTAGAAACTTCTCAAAAAGTTGACGTCTGGCTGCATTTGTAATTTTAGGCATACATTTTCTGGTGCCATATGATTCAAGGTCATTTAGATAATTTCTAAGAGCTGTTTAGGACCTCGAGAGTTCTCTTGCAATGAAACTTATAGATTTTTCTTCTAGGCAGAAATTTGCCCTTTTTCATTTTCATTAAGGAGGGAGTTCGTAGGCATTTTGCAGTAACTGTATTCAGTTATGAAATGTTTAGATAGAACTCACATTGCTTAAAATCGTGATAAGAGTTGTTTTATAATCTGTGCACTTTGGCATTCTGAAGTAAACCAGATATGCAAATTTTCAAAACTGTCTTATAATTATTTCCACCCTCGAAAATGAAGTTTTGTTAATAACTTTTTTTTGGTGGAAAGTTGTTATAAAATCAAATATGTATACTAATACCATTGTATCTAGGTACCACACACAAATTTTCAGAGGAATTTGTGCAGTAATAAGAAAATTAATAACAATTTCATAGTGTCTTATACTTATTTCCACCACTGTATCTACCCCAGTGTATTCATTATCTAAATCTATTCATATATATCTATATATTTCAGTATATTCATGTCTATCAGTCTCTATTTATCACAGTCTATTCTAGGAATGTCCAAAAATTCACTAAAAAAGAGCATACCCTGATGAAAAAAGCCCCAAACTTGATTAAAAAAAATTTGTATTGTTTAAATGTTTATGTTATTATTAAGAAGAAAGACCAAAGTATTTTTTGAGTAGTTTTTAAAATTTTCTAATCCTTTCTAGCACATCCGAAATTTTAACTAAAAATCTTGTTTTTTTTTTTTGAGTCATCAAAATTGACATAAAATCAATCATGTCATCCATTATTGACAGTTTTATAAACAAAAGTGAAATTCCCTGTTTAAAAATCTTGTAAAATTTAATTATACTTTTTTCATAAGTTATTTTAGGAAAATTAGAAAATTCAAAATATAGTTAATGTAAGTTGAAAGAAACATTACTTACTTTTTTATCAGAAGATTTTTTAAGCAAAACATGTTCAACCATAGTGATTGGTTTTGGGAGGTGTGAACTGACATACATCAATGTATTGACAACTTACATTAGGGGAATTTATCGGATGGTAGGACAGAAGTGATAAAATTTGTGCTAATTTTAAGTGAACCAATTTCGTAGAGTTAGCTAAAAAAATACACTTTCAAAATTTTTTTTTTTAACTTACACTTGAGGGAAAATTCTGGAATAAAAATAACATTTAAACTACAAAAAAATACATTTAAGATTCGAATTTTATAACAGACAAAAAAGAGTAACCTACTTGTTATGTTCACCTATTATAAAATTTTATATTTTTTTTTAATTAAGTTTTATAATGTCCCAGTTATGAAATTTTTTCCTAATTGAGACAATATAAAAATTAAATAAAATACCATTACATTTCATAAATGAAACAGGTGACTCATTTATGAAATGAGTTTTTATTTCTGTTGTGGTGTCCAAGTTTAGCACCAGTCAGTCACTAAGCTTGTATTCTATATCTTATGTTATTCTCAGTGACGAGTTATATAGTCTTTCTCTTGCACTTATGCAAATTAGGCATATTAATTTGCCAGTATCACTACATCTCCCTGAAACGTATAGGTTTTATACCTCTAGTAGTTCTTGTACTTCTTCTTATGATAGTTTCATTACTTTGCTCTACTTCTCTCTCTCCCGAATTTCTTTCTCTGGGAGACCTAGATCTATCCCATGCTACGCTGTAATCATAGGCATCTTCTTGCATTATTTGATCTTCGTCCAAACTTTCAAACTCATTCTGTCCCACTTGATCCTGCATTATTTCGTCTTCTGATGTTTCATTCTGTAACGGTTGTTCTAATAAATCATTAACGGACGGAATCGTAGACATTTCTTCATCATTTTGCTCTTCATATTCACCCTGGATCCTTATTTGATCTGCATTGGCTAATACACTGTTGCCATTTTCTCTATTTATTATAGCTGTATTGTGGCCTTTTTCATGATAAATTCTTCCCTTTCTGGATTTGCTTCTTTGGTTTTTTTTTACCACATTTTTTCATTTGTGGAATACGACATTGTTAGCAGAGCTCTAATTTGTCTTCCCATTAAAGCTGATGGGCTTTCTAGTCTTCCAGCCTGTAGTATTGTGCGATAGCTTAAAAGCAGCCTCGGTAGAAAAACTTCTACTTTTTCTTTTTGCTGAGAGCATGCTTTTAGTCCTGTTTTTATGGTATGCACCATTCTTTCCACTAACCTGTTTGACTGAGGGTGACATGGGGGTGTCTTATACAGTTTACATCCTATTTTTTTTAACCATAAATTAAGATCTTCATCACAAAATTCTGGTGCGTTGTCAGATATCAGGGTTTTTGGTATGCCATTTCTGGAAAATATGACCCTTAGAATCTGTTTTATCGTAGAACTTTTCTTGTCTGGCACCCGGATTATTTCAGGCCATCCTGAAAAAGAGTCTTAGTATGACCGACCCATCAAATTGGCAGAGTTGTAAACTGTTCTTTCATAAATGTGGCTTTCCAATGCATTCCCAAAAATATTTTGGTATCAGCATTACTTCACTCCCAGTATCAATTTGCATATCTAAATTGCAGTTGTTGATTTTAACCTTTAGTATAATGTCTTTTTTCTTTTGTTCAATTTTTTCTATATTCTTATTTTTTAATGTGAAGACTTCCATATTGGTTTTGTTTTCTTCAACTCTTTCAACGTTTTTCTTTTTGAATTTGCATACTGCTTGAAAGTGGTTCTTTTTTAAGCAATTTGTACAGGTTTTTCCAAATGCTGGGCATTTTTCCCTTTTTATTTCGTGTTCATGTCCACAATACAAACATTTTCTTATCTTTTTTAACATGTATGTATCAGCGAATATTTGTTCGCTGGGTTGACTTTTTTGATGGTTGTATTTCTGTATTAATTCTTGTTGCTGTATAAAGTCAATGCATGTATTTAAAGACATATTTCCTATTTGTAATTGTTCCATTATTTTATATTGGTGTGATGCATTGCACATACCTTCAATTAATCTTAATTGAATCAAGTCCTCTTCAATAGTCTGTTCGTCTTGTCTGAGTTTTTCAAATTCGCAACATCTACTCACATTTTGTAGACAGTGCAGATGTTTTATAATTGGTTCCTCAATTTCTTGTTTCATCGACATGAATTTCATTCTTTCTGCCACTACCAGCCTCATATTTCTCCTTATAATCTGACTTATTTTTTCGAAAGTCAGGTCTTCCAAGTTTGTGGGATATGCCATGGTGGAGACTTTCATTATCATTTCGCATCCAGCTGTAGCCAAAAATAAATCTGTAATTTCATTTTCGCCTCCCTTCTCCTTGTTGTCTTTCAGCTTTTTACTTCTCGCACTGGCAGAAAAACAGCGAATCCATGCATCTACGAAATCTGAATCTTCTAGAGACAAATGGGATCCTATCAGCGACATTATTGTTGTGAAGTCAAAGTTTAGCACCAGTCAGTTGCTAAGCTTGTATTCTATATCTTACGTTATTCTCAGTGACAGTTATATAGTATTTCTCTTGCACTTATGCAAATTAGGCATATTCATTTGCCAGTATCATTACAATTTCTTTTTTTTTTACTAATTGATATAATATCACAGAAGAAGAAAAATTTTGACAATGCAATGGTCACTCAGAGAATTCAACACATGCTACCAGAACAAAAGCAATGCCAAGAATGACCACATGATTCCATGCAATCAAGGGAAATAACTCTAGCACACATGATATTTTTTACAGAAATGTGCATCCATAGTTGTGTCAGAGACAATTTTAATACATTTTTTGAAATAATAAAAAATTATTTTAAAAATAGATGCATGTAATAGATTTTAATAAGCTTTCTAATTTACAATCTGTAAAAATAGACCTTTTTAATAAGAGCATTTCCAGAGTTTTACGGTTTCAAATTTAATTTTAAAATAATTATCAATTTTATTACTTTTTTATTTATAATTGAAAAAAAACAAACCAAAAAACAATTCTTGTAAAAATTCATTTTTCAACTGAAAAAAATTTTGGCTTCAGACAAATACGTTCTTAATATATATTATTCATAAAAGCCATTAAAAGCTTTTTTTAATTAAATAATGTCTTAGTTTTATTGAGTTTTGTATTTTAAATTCAGAGCTAAAGTTTGGGTTGTTGCAAGTAAAATTTTAATAAAAATTGATTATTTATATTCCTCAAAGTCTTCTTCATTTAATTAAAAAATTACAGAGTTACACAGTTACTAGTTTTAAAGTTTTCATAAAATTAAGTAAGGTGTGGTGTAACAGATGTAAAAAAAAATATTTTTGGCATGACTTTCTAAAAAACTAACATTTCTAAAATAAATTCATTCATTTTTGAAAAAGTTTTGAAAGTTTCATTAAATTCTGACAATTATTTGATTTTTGCAATAATTTCCATATTAATGTGTTTTCAACTGAAAAACATGCTAAAAAAAACTAATGCTAAATATTAGCTAACCTCTGACCTAAAAAAAAAACAAGATTTTCAACCAAAATTTCAAACGTGCTAAAAAGGAATAAAAATTTTTTTAAATAATTAAAAATACTTTGGTCTTTCTTCTAATTAATAACAAACTTTTTCGCAATAAAACTTTGTTTTTATTAAGTTTGAGGCCTTTTTCACCAGGGTCTGACATTTTCTTAGTGAAAAAGTGGATATACCCAGATTCATATCTATTTTAGTCTATTCATATCTATCTATCCCAGTCTATTTATATCTATCTACCTCAGTCTATTCAATTCTATCTACCCAGTATATTTATAGGTATATATTTTAGTCTAATCATATCTACCCCAGTCCATTCCTATATATGTAAGTCTAGTCACATCTATCTTTCTATCTCAGTCTATTCCTATAAGAGGGTGGACTGAAAAGTTCATAGGCTGACTATGAAGGAGTGATGGTAGAGATGTGAAATCTTGCATGCATTAATTTCAACTCTTCTTATTAATAACTGCATTGTTTCTGTCCAGGTAAACTGACATCTGACTGTTCAAAGATGACTTCAAATGTAACTATGATAATAAATAGTAGTGACTTCTCTTTAAGAAACTACTTTTTTGTTTCATTTTGTTAAACTTTTGTGTCATGGTGGTCTTCTGATTCATATATTCCAGGATTTAATCAGAAGTTGGCATTGCTAAACTCAAATGATAAAGAAAGTGAATCCTATAAATAAATTTAAATTTGTTTAATTTCTAATTAATTTATAGTTGATTAGTTTTTTTTTCTTTGTTACTCAATCCATAAAAGAAAAGGCTCATAACTTAATCATTACTGGAACAGAAAACAGAATTGAAAGCCAAGATCAAATTCTGGCCAAGTCTGTTGCATTCACTTCAGGCTAATGTTTTTATAAAAGGCATGAATCCATATTTTCTACTCACCAGCTATGGTTAAAGTAGTAGGGAAGACTAGGCATTGAAGCCTTGAAAGGGTGACCAATCTTTGAGAATAACTCTTAATTTAAACAGGGGGAAAAAGCAACGTGAAACCACTTCACATTTCCCAAGAACAGTTATGGTGATTCACAATTTACAGATATTGAAGAAAAAAAAATGTGGAGAGCCATTATCGTCTACATTTTGAAAGGATAAACCACAAAAGGAGAAGAAAAATGAGAGTCAGAAGATTATATAACACAATCTGATTTTTGTTTTGTTTTCCTAAATGTTCCTCTAGTACAAGCCCCAAGAGCCAGTTGAGGTAGAGGTTTACTGATTGAGGTTGTTGAATTGATGTAAGAGAGGGAAGTAAGTGCAGGTTATGAGGATACATAACATTGATAATGTTTAGACTTGAAGAATCAAAATTGTAGTGATCAGGGAAGCATCTTCTTGGGAGTCTGTTCCATAAAGTAGCTGCTATCAGGAACAAGCTGAGTGGAATTTCTTTCTTACCAATGGAATATGAAAGGAATATATATGATTTGATGCTGTGTACATGGCATGGCTAGTTTTTAGTTGTAAAAGTCTGAACTGGCAGAACTAAAGAATATAGCTCATCTGAACATTTGCCATGGAAATAGCAATAGAGTAGTGATAGGTTTGTGACACTTGATGATGTTGATTTATGACAGGGACATTAATTTGAGTCAATTTATATATTGATACTATATATTAATAATTGGAAAAATATATTTAATGACTCTCATATATAAACCTAATAATAATCAGGACAAAATATCAATTATATAAATGCCATCTTTTTTGACAGCATATGTAAGTTAGCATTAATGTAAAATTCTATAGGGCATAAAGTGGGGGATCGGTTTTTTGTTGTCATTAAGTTATAAACTGAACGCCTAATGAATTACTGCAAATTAATGATTGTAAAACAGACACCATCATTTTTGACAGCATAGATAACCTCATATTAATATAAGATGTGACTGGACAAAGTGGGGGACTGGTTTTCTGTTGTTATTAAGTAATAAATTGATCCCCCCCACAAGAATTACTATATATTTATAATTGGAAGAAATATATTCAAAGATTAACATGTGAAAATCCCAAAATAGTGAGAACATAAAATATCAATTTTATATATGCCATCATTTTTGACAGCAGAGATAACCTCATACTAATAAAAGGTTTTACTGGATGTAAAGTGGGGGATCAATTTTCTATTGGCATTAAGTAATAACTTGATTCCCTAGGAATTAAAATATATAGTAACAATTAGAAAATAATATATTTAATGATTCTCATATGTAAACCTAATAATAATCAGGACAAAATGTCAATTTTATAAATGCCATTCTTTTTAACAGCATGGGTAAGCTTGCATTAATATAAGATTCTACTGGATGTAAAGTGGGGGATCTGTTTTCTGTTGT